ATATTAAAAACAATAATAGGGAAGGAAATAAGGGAAAAAGGAGGAAAACTGTTCGTATTCTTTGCAGACATGAAGGCCGCTTTTGATAAAATAAAGAGGAAGAAAATATGGGAAATAATGAAAGAGAAAGGGATAAATAGAAAAATTAGGAAAAGAATAGAAGAAATATACAAGAAAACAGGGAGTAAAGTAAAAGTTGGAGGAGAAATAATTGGGGAGTTTGAGACTTTCAAAGGCGTAAGGCAAGGGTGCCCTTTGAGTACCACGCTATTTAATCTTGCCTTCGCCGACCTGGAAGGGAAGATCAAGCAGGTGCAGGAAAGAGGGGTAGTGATAGGAAGGAAGAAAATATGGACATTAGGATACGCAGATGATATAGTGATGATGGCAAAGAGTGAAAGTGGAATGAAAGTAATGCTGAAAAAATTAAAAAGATACCTGGAAGAAAGGGGATTAGAGTTAAATGTAGGAAAATCAAAGATGATGAAATGCAGGAGAGGAGGAGGAAGGGGGAAGGAAGAAGAATTCGAATGGGAAGATGAGAAGATAGAGATGGTGAAAGAGTACAACTACTTAGGATATGTGATAAGCAGAAATAACGGAAACAAAAAGCAGATAAAGAAGGTAGAAGGGAAAATAAATATGGGACTCGGAAAGTTATGGGGGGCTAGGAGAAAAGCTATTTAGAGAAAACTGGGAGCTAAGGATGAACCTGTTCGATGCTCTGGCGAAAAGCGTGATTATGTATGGAGCAGAAATCTGGGGATGGAAGAGATATGAGGAAATAGAGAGACTACAACTAAAATACAGAAAGTGGGTATTAGGATTAGATAGAAACACGCCAAGTTACCTAATACGATGGGAAACAGGAAGACAAGAAATGAAAGAAACAGCATTAGAAAGAGCAATGAAGTATGAAAACAAAATAAGAGAAGAAAGAGATGGCTCAATAAGAAAAGAAGCATGGAGAGAATTAAAGAAAAGGGAAAGAAATGAAAAAGATAAAAAGGATAAGAAGGAGGAGAGAGAGGAAAGGCTGGAAAAAAGTAAAATATACAGAGAGAGAGAGAAGAGGGAGACGAAATGAGGGAAGAGTTTTGGGAAGAAATAAGAGATGAGCTGAAGAAAAAAGATAGAAAAGAACTAGAAGAAAAGCTAGAAAAATCAAGATACATAAACGAGTGGAAAGAGCTGAAAGAAGAAATGAAAAGGTATAGGTTAAAGGAAATTCAAGGAGAGGGAAGAATAAAAGGCCTGCAAATAAGGGAAAGGTTTAGGTTAGGTAATGAAACGAGAGGAAGCAGGTATTGGGAAAAAGAAGAAAATAAGAGATGCAGAATGTGTATGAAAGAGGAAGAAAATTGGAAGCACATGGTAGAAAAATGTGAAAAAAGCAGAAAGGAAGGGGAGGAATGGGAAAAAATAATAATAGGAAGCAAAGAAAAGATAGCGTGGATGATGGAGTTGAAATGGAAAAGAAGAAGAAATGAAGAGAAGAAAGAAAAAGAAAAGCAAGAAGACGAAGTTACAAGACCCTAAGGAGAGACGGAAACAGAAGACAGAGAAGCAAGACTCGCAGACACATCGACACACACACACACATACACACACACACACACACACAAAACACAAACATACGCGCAATCATAAACATACTCATGCACACACACAAGACACAAGTAACAGCAACTACATAAGCGAGAGAAAGCAGTATTGGAGGACGGAGCAAAATGGGAAAGAAGACGATTCGAAGAAAAGAAAGAAAAAGGCAAATTATAAGATACTAAGGAAAAATAAGTGAGGTTGAGGAAAGGAAAGGCAGAGGGAGCAATAGGAAACAAGAAAAAGGTGTCAATGCCTTAATAACGAGAAAGATAGAGGAAATGATTAGCAAGAATGAGAGCAAAAGCAAAGGAAAGGCAAAGGTGAAAAGGCAAAAGAAAATATGCAAGAAAGAGAAAAACAGAAGAGAGGAAAAGGCAGATCTTGGAGAGAGAAAGAGGAAGAGAAGAGTAATCAGAAGAAAAATGAGAAGAAAAGAGGAACAGGCAGGCGTAGAAGACGAGGCCACAAGAGTTGCAGACACACCTACAAAGGCACATTTTTACACAACATATACACATACACACGCACGCACACACACACACACATAATCAACTACACAAACTGGATACGAGACACAAATAGTAATATAAGAGATGTAAAGTAATGTAACATATAAGTTGTAAATAAATAAACTATACTAAACTAAACATATTCCTCAAAAACAAACGATAAATTTTTATAAATTGACTGCTTTGGCTAGCACATTTTATTAATAATAAGAAATTTACATTTTTCACATACAAATTTTTAATTTTAGGAAAGAAATAGTAAGAACTCTTTTTCTACTTATTTTGGTTTTCTATTATTAAATGAATGCTTTAACTATGATGGCAAGTGGTCAATAAAACTCCCGCATTTAATATTTAGAACTTTATAAACCATAAATTAGAGAAATACAAATTATATATGTATGTATAACGTTATATTTTTTCAAAGAATCTTCTGAAAATATGTAAAAAGGTAATTTGAAAAGAATATCCTGAAATGAAATGTAGAATAAAGTTTGTTTTTATATAACTGGATTTATTATAACAATTATATTATAAAATTAGCTCTATATAGAATGTTTCAAAATGCAATGAAAAATATTATTTATACATTTGCAATGTAGATACTAGTATCAAACACGCACACTGCGACTAATGTTATAAAAATACGAAAATAAATTTTTCAGACAACATAATCTTTAATAGTATAAGATTTTACATGATAGTAAAGTTTCACAGTTGTATTAAACTATGCATAGTGATTGATAATAGCAATAAATTCTGTTGAGCGATTCATATTAAATTGAAACGTTAAATTTAAAAATTTGTATGTGAAAAATGTAAATTTCTTATTATTAATAAAATGTGCTAGCCAAAGAATTCAATTTGTAAAAATTTATCGTTTATTTTTTGGGAATATGTATTGTAATGTTTTTGTTTGTTTTCATTTTTATCACTTTGCATTTAAAATATGCGCCCCTTAGAAAACCCTAGAAATCACCTGCGCATGGCTTGCTGCGCACTGGCTCATGACATATCCTTCTTCAACAACTTGGTGTTAAGAATTCATGTCATTTTTTAAGTGTCAGAATCGTTCTGTGAACACCCTAAAAATCTGAAAACATTAGATTGGTTAAGTTATCCAATAAGTGCACACAAATTTTTCAAGAATCAAGTCGAACAAGTTGAAGCTACCGCTTGTTGTGCACGGAGTCATCCCATGGATCTCGAAGTTATGAAAAAATATAAATCTCTAAACAAGTCATCGGAAGGTGAAAGTTGTTTGAAAAACAGTATCGTAGATAATCTATCAATGCTTAACGAGAAATCAAATTTGAAAGAAACAACGTCTAAGCCAAGTAAAATTTTATCATATAAAATAAATGAAAAGGAATCCGACGATTATACAAATGAAAATACGAGAGATCTTATTATTCCCAATGGAAATCTAAAAACTATACCAATTTGAGTACAGGAGCGTACCAAAGTTAATTTTTATTATCTGATCAATATGTTCCCAAAAGATTCTCTGTTTGAAATCTGTTCCTTTTTATACGAAAAATTTCAACAATTTCGCTGTATGTGTGAACAGAGGAGGACAATCCATAATTTTTTTAGGACTCACTTCTGTTATTTTAATCAGAATTTTGATAAAACTGTAATTTACAAAGAACAAGCACAGTTGATGAAATCTATAGCAGAAATTTATAATTCTCAAATGAATTGTCAATTCAATATAGGTGAATTACTAGAACGATTATTATCTAATCAACCTCTAATTACTAGAACAATAACTTGTAGTAATTGTAAGTACATCAGAAATGATAATCATTCCACTGCAATATTACCGATAGTACAGATAAGTGACTTCAGAATGAATAAAATGCCATTTTTGAATCGATATGTGGATTTGAATTTTACTGTAGGCAATATACACTGCTCTAATTACAAATCAGAAGGCAGGTGAAATAGTTATGAAGTCAACACATTGTTAGTTATAAATTTGGAATATATATTTCTCAACGGTAGCATGGTTTTAGAGGCAAGTGACATACTAAAGTCGTTAAATATTTACAGCAAACGGTATAAATTGGGTGGATTAATTGTATTTCAAATTTTAAACACTAAAGTATTACCCTTGCATTACTATGTCTATATTTACAAGAATGGTAATTGGGAAAAACGGGATGATATTGTAAATTCATTAAGACCTTTAGAAATTTACCACGCAGTATAAAAATTTTATTGGCTTTTTATACTCTTGATATTGAAACAAGATGAAATTCCGTTTATATATAAACTATGCAATATGCTATCACTGTATATATATTAGATTATATTTATTGTTATCATTTGTTTTAATGCAATAAACATTTTGAACAAAGTAGATAGCATGATTTACTTCTAACACATCGAAACTCAATTTAATGATGGTATGTATATACATAATTAATTGATATGCTAGTGTCAGTAACAAAAATGTATTTATACTGAAATTATTTTGCAGTTCTTGAAAATTGCATTATTCCTAAAGAGTTTTAAATAATAATGGCAAAGAATCGCAATTCAAAATGCAGCTATATACATGGACTTTGAGCTTTTACTTTACATGCAACTTTCTGAATGAGAGAATGAGGTGAAAGGCTTTTCAAGTTTTATCATTAAAACAGCTGATGTATGAGGGAAACAAAAGGAAGTTTATTGTAATTGTTATATTCAGTGAGTTTAATTATAGTATTTTGAAACCTTGCATATGTCTTCTAGACCTCAATAGCTACCCATCATCAGGATAAATTTTTGTACAATTTTCTTCGATATTGTTATTGAATAAGTAACTTTTGTTAAATCCAAAGTGATCCCTTTTTAATAATGTTTTAAAGATAAATCAATAGCTCCTGCTGAATTATTGCCAGTATTGTGAGAATAAGCGCCAATTGCATTGCTAAGATTGTAATAATCTTGCAATGCATAATCCATTGTATCATTAAAATAAAATCATCTTTTTTATAAATGGTTAAAGGTCTAGTAGCAGGAGGATATGCTGGAACCTGCAAATGACCAATATTTAGTCAACTCTGTAGAATAACATTCACGGTGCACCATAAACTAATGATTTATTTTTTAATAAAAATCTAATGTTTGAAATATTGTACTCACTTCTTGTTTAGCAACCCAGCCTTGAAGAAATAAATGTAAGAAAATTATTCTATTATTCTAAATATAATTTACGTGCATGTTGTTGTTATGAGCAAACAAAGAAAGCTGCAGAGCAACCAAAAATATTTCTATGACTTGCATTACCAATTTGTAAGGAAATCTTCTTTTAGCTTCCTATTTTTCAATAGAATTCATAAAAAAAAATTGCAATCTCCTACGCAATTTATCTTCCATGAATCTAGTATTTTAGCATGTATGCAGCTCATCATAAAGGCCTTTTTGTGCATCTCTATAAGACATAAGTCAATAACATTGTATATTTAAAAATCAATAGTATAATCGTAACCTGGGTTTCGCACAAGATGTGTTGAGTAGAGAAATTTCATCTTCTTTTGCGCTCTCTGAAGGTTCACTCCAAGAATTAGTACACGTTGAACGCTACCCATTTGACTAGATTGTTTGAGTTTAATACTGTCAGTATCAACAGGTCTTAAAAGTTAATTATCTCAAAAAATTAGAATATGGGTGCTAACTTTTAAGAACTAGTATCAACAATCACCACTAAAGAATTAATTATACCGGTATTTTCATCAGTGGTGCCACCTCTCTGGTGCCACGTAGATTGACCGATGCGAAAACAGCCCGACACAAATAATATTTTATAAAAAAAGATGATCACATCTCACGTATGTCTAATTGTACTTCTCGAAAAAATAATTATTTGTTATTGTACCATTATATTTCTCATAAAAAATAAAAAATATCGTTATCGATAATTCACCTTCTATTTATTCACATAAAAGACATAATTAAGCAAAAATAAATTCACAGAAAAATTGTACCTTCTGTAGTCTAAATTGTACCATCAGTACAATTCTATAAATTTGTTTCTAAAAGAAGTAATAGGACAATTACAAAGCTCTACGCCTGCGCAAAGTGCATTTCCGGATGACATCCTTGTAAATTGTAACAATTAGTGGTAATTTGTAATTGTTCTATTATTTCTTTTAGAAACAAATTTATAGAAATGTACTGATGGTACAATTTAGACTACAGAAGGTACAATTTTTCTTTGAATTTATTTTTGCTTAATTATATCTTTTATGTGAATAAATAGGAGGTGAATTATCGATAACGATATTTTTTATTTTTTATGAGAAATATAATGGTACAATAACAAATAATTATTTTTTCGAGAAGTACAATTAGAAATACGTGAGATGTGATCATTTTTTTTATAAAATATTATTTGTGTCGGGCTATTTTCGCATCGGTGTAGATTGCCGTTTATGTAAATAATAAAGGTGACTTATGGCCATGGAGCATGGAGACTGTATACAGGAGGCGAGGCAGGCCTATACCACCCGTGTTAAAGCGTTCGGCAAACCCAAGTCACAGTCCCAAAGTAATTAGCCGATTTTAGCGCTGCGTGCGGTAGTTAGTGAACTACTAGAAGACTTACAATATGAGCGCAGCTTATCGACCATGGAGACGTATACAGTTTCCATGTTATCGACCATGGTACTGTAGGTGACGAAGATAACCCGCACGCGAATATCTTTTTTTATAAAAAGGGATAAATTAATTTTATAGAAAATGAATACTGTTTTACGATAAAAAAGTCTTGCTATTTTGTTCTTAAATGTACATTTTCAAAGTTGAGTGAATAACGTTGAATTTCCTATCTTGAAAAAAAAAAATATATATATATAATAACTAAATTTTTCGAAAAAGTTTTAGAAGTTTGTTTAAGTGAGATTGTTACATACACGCACACACACTTAGAATGATTTTCAAGGTCATTTGAAGGTCACAGTGATTTTTTGCATGGAACCCTTATTTTTGATTCCGGATTTGGAAATAACGAGAAATTCTACGTTTAGATGAGGTATTATGTGTGGGGTTTGATTGATGATGATGTTCCCGCATATATTTAATATAAACAATTAAATAATTAATATAAAAACTGAAATTAATATTTTGATTGTTTGCGTAGTTCTTTAGATTTTAATTTTTTTGCATCATGGACAATATTGTGTCGCTTGCACGCCATTTTCATTCGTCTTTCTAAATAGTAAATTATGAATTTGTATGTTAATTTTATTACATGATCTGTACAACCAACAATCGCTAGAGAGTTCGTTTTTATTATTTTTTGAACAATGAACTGCATACTATCTCTAGTCATGCCATTATTACACTCAATTATAAAGGTCACACAATTTTCAACCATCTTAATTAATTCAAAAACATTGTCGCTAGACTTAATTAAGCCACCAAAACTCTCTCTAGCATTTGTAAGTTGATGGCGTACAGCATCACTGGAGAACGACTCCAAATGCAGATTGCAATTTTCGCACTCGTTGTCCAAATGTCGCGTCTCCCAATCTAAAGAAGATAATTGATTCATTTTTTGTTGTCATTCAAAATCAAAGTAACTGCCAACATTTAGTTTTTACTAAATTCAAAACAGGTGACAATTACTAACAAATTAAAAAATAATTATAATTATTGTAAATTTTTATGTTAAAAATCTATGCTTTTTATACAATTGAATTATTGCTTTCGTAACAATATTTTTCTATTAAAAAGATAATTATTTTACACGGTAAAAATTTCGTGGATAGTTGACAATGACCACATTAACCATCGTAACTATCATTAAAGTTAAGTATATCGAATGTTATTTATTATTAGACATTATATTGTTTAATAAGGAAATATAAAAACAAAAAAAACTATAAAATTATTAAAATCGAGTGATCGAAAAGCGTATTCTACCATTTCAAAAAAATAACAAAAACGATATATTGCAAGACTTTTTCATCGTAAAATAGTATTAATTTTCTATAAAATTAATGGATTCCTTTTTACAAAAAGGTATTCGCGTGCGGGTTATCTTCGTCACCTACAGTACCATGGTCGATAACATGGAAACTGTATACATCTCCATGGTCGATAAGCTGCGCTCATATTGTAAGTCTTCTAGTAGTTCACTAACTACCGCACGCAGCGCTAAAGTCGGCTAATTACTTTGGGACTATGACTTGGGTTTGCCGAACGCTTTAACACGGGCGGTATAGGCCTGCCTCGCCTCCTGTATTGGGATCTGACATGTGGAGGGGGTAGAGTTTAAGATGGCGACAGTAAGGCGCATCGTTACACGTGCAGTATAGGACTAAGACTAGTTTTTAGTGTAAATGTTGTTAACAATCGGCGAAATATGCAAGTGGGCAGGTGAAAATCCAAGCCAAAGACGTTTTGTAGAGGGTGAGCGAATTTTAGCGGCAGGTCATTTGTTGAAATGTGGAAAATTAGGCGTCGAGGATGATGTAGTCAAAGTAAAGGCTTTTTGTTTACAAACAACAAATGTGAAAGAAAAGCCTCATGAAATTGATTTTGAGATCACTGGATCAGGCTGTATACTGTGTTTGTACTTACAAAGCTGGGCTTAGTGGAAAATGCAAACATATAGTTTCCGCATTACTGTACTGCTACCGGTAAATTTCTAACCTCTATTTTTTTAATCATGCTAAATATACTTGTATATAACATAATTTTTTTTTATTCTAGTGAAAGATATTCTTTTTTTTAGTGCTGATGAAGATCTTCAAACATTCTCTTGTACCGATATAGCATGTTCTTGGAAGCAACCCCACAAAGATATTTTACAGAAGTATAGACCAGTTCCATTAGAAAATCACAGTTGTTTTAAAAATCAACACTCCAGTCAATTTCAAAACGTTATTTTAAACATAAGCACAAAAGATATTAAAAATATTATTATAAAAAATCTACCGACTTCTGCATTTACAAAAGACCAGTAAGTCAATTTTTTTTCAATTAATAATACAATTACAGAAATCTTGTGTAATATTTAATTGAGTAAATTATTTGTAGAATTGGAAGACACAATCCAGTAACTTTCACAGAAAAAAGCATCTCAGACGTTGAACGAATGGCAATTAAATTGATATTTTTGCACCAAAATAAAGAAAATACTATATTACAAGCGTTAGAAAGACTGAAAGTGGATCCTGTAAAAGACTGTTGTACTTAAAGTTTGAGTATATTACATGGAGATTATGAAAAAATTTGTGAAAATACTAAAAATTGGTATGTTAATTGGAAAGAAGAAAGAAAGTATCGAATAATTGGATCCATTTGCTATACTACTTTCACCTATTCATCAAACAAAAAAGCCAACTAGAAAAATAGATGTAATAGTATGTTCAATCCACCTAATTTCAAAAATGATTTCACAGAATATGGAAATGAGATGGAATCTGAAGCTCGAGAGTTATTTGTGATAAGTACAAATATCAAAGTTATTGAAGTGGGACTGGTAGTATCAAAAAAGAATCCATGGCTCGCTTATTCACCTGATGGCGTTATCTTTGATGAATTTAAACCAGTAGCTTTATTAGAAATTAAGTGCCCGTTTCTAGGTAAAACTTGTGATATATAGTAGAAGCCACCGTGGCTAGTTAGATAAGTGGAAGTGGGTGTTTAGAAAAAAAGGTGATGTGATTTGTTTAAAGCAAAAGCATAGGTTCTACGGGCAGATTCAATTAGGTATGGCTATTCTTAACGTACCTTTCACATACTTTGTCTTATACTCATCGTTTGACAAGCAGTTATTTATATTAAAGGTTAATAAGGATATTGTTTTTCTAAGTGATATGCTGAGTACTTAAAAAAAATATATTATAATATAATACTACATTATATTTGTCAAGAGAATGTTAATGAAAATGTCGATACCAATAACAACCCAGCAGCTTAAAATAAATAGTCAGGATTAGGATAATAAGAAAACGTATGCTGATACAAAAAAGGGCTTATTAGGTTGTTGGCTTTATTGTTTAGAATAAGTGTTACTAGCCCGTTGGCTTAAATTGATTTAATACTTCTACATACAATGTGTTCTTAGCCCGTTGGCTTAAATTGCTTTAATACTTTAACGTACATGTATATGAAATTCACTGTGATAAAAAAGTGATTGTAATTTAAAAATGATACATTTATAATAAAGTTATATAAAGCAAAATACAGTTATTTAAATAAATTTTTCACTTTTACCCAGGATTTATTTCAATACTTTCATTTGGAGTGTTTACAGTATTATGCATAAAATTTTTATCAGCAATTATAGGTGAACTTAAATTTACTGTTGCACAAATGACAATAAATATATCTTCTAAAAGTGGATGAAGTTCACATGGGACTGTCGATGAAAGTAGTTGAAAAATTTTCAATCTTTAATTCGATCTTTCAATGTGAACTCTAGCTTTAGCAATATCACAGCAATTATCAGCATCGAGTTTGCTGAACTGCTTATCTCTTAAATATGCAGGCCTGTATAATTTCCAGCCATTTTTTTGACATGTTGCTTCAATCAAAAAACCTTTATCAACCATGATAGCATCACCACGTTCTAATAACTGAATTAAGCTGCTTTGGTTAAAAATAGCAGTATCGCTGGACTTTCCACCATACAGTTTACTAACATATGTTATACTACCCGAAGGAGAAACACCAGTCATAAATTTCACAGTTAATCCACCTTTGTACTGTGAGAAGGTTGACATTTGACATTCGAGGCATTTAGTATGCTGTATATGTATCTCTGTGCAATCTAAAACAACTCTTACATCTTCATAGCCTTTAAAATAGTTTGGTAAGTTTCTAGAAATCGTCACCCTGGATTGCCAATCAATCATCGCTTTTAAAGTAATTTTAAGCATCCCTAAAGTTTTGACAAAAATTCTCTGGCAGTGTTTTGGAGATATTTGAAAAAGAATCGCTAGAGCACTGTATGACATATTTTGTTTTATTCTCATGTAAGTCATTATAACATTACTTTTTGCTTTCAAATTACTTTTTTCAAATGTCTTAGGATAAGATTTTTCTAAAACTTCAACTATAGTATTTAAAAGAGTGAAAGATTGTAAGCCTGTCATAGTACTCAATTCACTATCACTTTTGATTAAATTAATCAGTCACTTTATCAGTTTCAAGTGAAACATCCTTGGTTTCTGGCTTGGCGTAACATTTAGCATCCTTTTTTATTGGGTGTTGCGTTATCCTAGTTTCTACTGAACTATTATTAGAAATAGCGGTCATCATCATATCTACATCAATGTGATTTATTTCATTATTTTCATGCTCCATTGATTCTGTTGATGAAATGTTTACTTCAGTGACAGTGTTATGATTTGCAGCCTGTTTATTCTCTTGACGTTTAAGCATCCTTATAGACCTGTTTATAGATGTAGTATTTTTTTTTGCTCTTGACTTTGGCAAGTTTAGTGTTGGAACTATATTTTTTTTCAAGTGCCTCTTGAAAGCTGGAGCATCTGTAGAATAATTATTCAAATATATATATATATATAACTATATAGCTAGATAACCTAATTCTTTGTTCTTACCTGGAAAAAGATAATCATTCTTTCGGAAATGACGGGAGCAGACGACAAGACTATTCGAATAATTTTTACCAAGCCCAAGAGTCATTTGCCAAGCTTTCAATCGAGAGATTTTCTCTAACTTTCCGAAATGGTTTTCGCGATATACAAACCCATCATCTGGTTTGGGCAAATGATGAAAGTGAATTTCTGTATCATCAGCGATTTTATTTTCACAGAACTTAACACAACATTTCTTCTTACGATTGAGTTTTGATTTTTTACTTAATAATTGTCCAGGAATCATTATTTACTACAATTATTCAATGATAAGCACTACTTGCTCATTACACGTAACGAAAGGCTGCGCCTTGATTTAGTTCCATATTTCGTCATCAGAGGCGCTCACGCTCAGATGTCAGACCCCAATACAGTCTCCATGCTTATGGCTATCGGCAGCTGACGATGTTGACGTAATCGAGACTAACCTGGCAGAAAAATGATTGATTTAAAAAAAATATATATACCATTAGTTTCATTTTAATTTGTACCATCAGAAAAATGCTTTTTTGAAATTTGTACCTTCTCTAAAAATAGAGAAAAAAAAGATTTTCGTAGGGTAGATTAGCAATTCAAATTAATGTATTACTGCGCATGCGCGGCGGAAAATCTATCTTCCAGCAGAAAAATATGCGAATTAAAAAGATATATATATGAATGCCTTCTTCTTAATTTGTACCACCTAAAAAATACATAAAACTAATTTGTATCCCTGTAGAATTTGAATAATACAATGTTTTTTGTGTGATTGTAATACTGATAAGTTTTACAGGAAAATCTTTTATTTATTAAGGAAAAAATATATTTTTAGCTTTACCTTAAACTTTACCAACTGAATATAGTTTTATTGTAATTTTTACACTCTAAAATTTAATTAATCATGTTAATATACTGTAACGGAATTATTTAAGCCGACTATTCAAGGGAATATTTTGCTCGCGGCCGTCCGCACAGTATTTATCAAAAGGAGGGCTCGGGAGGCACGAATGCTTCCACAACTGAATGGCACACCGAGCGTGTGTGCCAATCGCGCACGAATTAAAGGAAAGTCGGAAAACGAACGGGTTGACGCAATAACATATGACACATATATGTATAACAAAATTTATTAATACGACACAATAAAAGAAAGTAAAAGAAAAGAAACACAAATTAATAAGTAGACGGAGCACGCACGCTCCGTCTCGCAAATCGGCCTAACACAAAATTCGCTAATCCGCTTAATCCGCTTAATCCGCTTAATCGGATTATCGGCAATCATTGCCCGACAATCCGACTAAGCCCGCTCGCTCGCGAATGCACCCGCGACCTCAAAACCCGGCAACGGGGGCCGGCATTACTGCCCGACCTGCACAGTTGCACCCGCGAACACCCCCGGACATGCAAGAGAGCGAGGGAAGGAGAGAGAGAGAGAGAGAAAACCGGCACCGACCTCGCCGACGGAGACTGCAACAAAGCTGGCCACGCCCGGCCACCGGCTACCGCTCGCTACTGTTGCCACCGCTGCTACTCGCTGTTGTTGCTGTTGTTGACAACCGGCTGCTGCCACCCGCTGCTGCCGCTGCCGTCGGCTGTTCCCCAGCCGCTCGCCGAACGCGCGCGCGCCGGCGGTACGGGCTTCGCCGTTACCCGCGCACACCGGTGCTGGGCGGCAAGGCTTGGCTGGGCGCGACCCAGCCACTCACTCCACGCACGAGAAAAATTACCACCGATGCGCGCCCACACACCGGATGCGCATCCACAAACAAAACGACGACGAAGCACCGCGCCGCTTTCAAAACCAACGGAAAACCAACGAAAATCGGCGACGAATGAAAACAACGCGCGCACGCGATCGGCCAGCCCAAACGATACTGCCGATTTTCCCCCCCGGTCGCGCACGCGTCGGATGCGTGCGTAGCCCGCGCCCTCTCCATCCCGCTCGCCCTCCCGCATTACGATCCTGGCAACGGATCATCACCTCGTCGGCCGCCTCCAGCTCCGCCAATGTCCGTTCACCGCACCTCAAACAGAGAAAATGCAGGCATGAGAGCGGATATAAACACACTCTCAGCCCGGGCGCAACGAACGGACGAGAGAGAGACAAAGGAGAAGCCGGCAAACCGAAATTCTCCGTCACAGCCCCCCCGTAGCAACCGATCCTGTACCAGGATCGGGAGCTATCCCCCGCTCTCATCGTCCGCGCGTCACACCCGGGCTGGGTCCCGAGTGCAAACCTGGCCCGACGGCAATTCTGCCCGGAAAGCCTCGCATCTCGCTGACCACGAGCGAACAGGAATGGTGGGTCATCACTACCTAGAACGGGACAACAAAAGAAACTACAACTACAGAGGATCACACGACATCCCCTAACGATACTCCCGAAATATAACTACCAAACAAAAAAAAACGAAAACGAAACATGTGTCAATGCGGGTTTCAGAGCGCCACTTACCTTGGGTCCTGCGTGGCCTTACCTATCGGCCACCCTCGCGGGCGGGAGGCTGCGATATCAGGCCAGCCTCCTCCACAAGGCGTAGGCGATCCTCTCGGCACAGCCCTGCAAGATAGGCCAGGGCCCCCTCACGAGAGGACGGCCTCGGCGCCGACGGCACGGGTGACACCGATGGTGGTGACGGCGTCACCGACACCACAGGTGGTAGTGGCGTCTCCGGCGCCACAGATGTTGATGGCGCCGCTCGCGCCGCCGGGAGCATTGGCGGCTCCATGGTTGGTGAGCCCCGCTCGGCCCGGGCCCGAATCTCAGCCTGAAGCCGGCGTCGAGCCCGACGCTTAGCCGCCACTGAGATGGGCGATGGCGTGCCCTGCTTGGCGACGGCGGTTCCGGACCCGGGCCGAGGCAGCCGACACCGGCTTGCCAACGCGCCATCGGCGGTCTGATGGTCGACCGCGGTGCGCGCTGGAGAGACCCGCTTGGCCCCAATCCCCATTCCCGTGCGCCGCCCCCCCGCTCGGGTCACAGGGCGAAAACGGCCGTCACCGCAAAGGCGGTAGACGATGCCATCGTCACCCACGACCCGACGCGAAGACGACGCCGAGGCGGGGACGGACAAACCCGTCTCCAGGATGGGTGAAGGTGTCGCGGTTGCCGCGGCCTCCGGCACCAGACCAACCCTAGCCTCGAATGGAGGCGTCGACGGGACCTCCTCCACCAGTCCCGCGGATAAAGACGAATCCGAGTTCCCCACAAGTGGGGAACCGGCCCGCACCGTCTCCTTCTGGGGGCACCCAATCTCACCGGATGCGTCCGGCCCCGCCGACGATCAGTATTGAGGAACCCCCTCCTGTCGAGGAGTTGGTTTCTCACCGATGTGGCGGAACTCTACGTCCCTGGTGAAATCGGGCAGCCGCCCAGACCTCTTCCTACGGGACGGTTGAGGGGTCGCCTCCTCCTCGTATCCCGCGGGAGGGTAGAGGCCCCGGCCCCCGGTCGCGACAGTTGGGAGCGCAACACGCTTCGGCTGCTCCGCTTGTACCCCCGATGCCGGGAGGAAACGATACTCGAGAGGGATTTCATCCCTTCTCGAGTGGCCGCGAGATGGGCGCGGCTCCTCCCGAATCACCGGGAGCACGTTCCGAGCTCCCGGACACCGCAACTCGGTGCTCAGACCGGGGTTGCGCGGCTCAACGAGAGCCTGCAGACCCCGGGTCCGTGCCGTCCGGAGCCTCATGGGCGAGCCCGCGTACAGGCGCTCCACCATTCTTCCCTGCCGCGGTGCGCGGGCGGCCAGGTTGGCCAGTGCCATCTGCAACGGCAATGCCTGGCGAGCCGGGCCGGAGTTGAGACTATTGTCCCACTCCGACCTACCCCTCAGTGGAGAGGCCTCCACCGGGACAATCCTGGCCACCAAGGCCTCACTGGCCCGGCGTTCCCGCGCCAGCCGCTCAGCACGCGGCAGAGGTCGGACAGCGGAAAACGGCGCCCCGGAAGGAATCGCCAAGGGAATTGGCTCCTCCTCCAGGTACGCCGCGAGCTCTAGTTGCGCGGTTCCGCTGCCGAGCTCCAGCGCGTCCCCAGCAGACACGGGCATGGAGGCGTCCTCCACCTCCGGACGTGGCTCGCCAGACCCACGAACGGGGAAAGGCCCACTGCCCCGGGGCTCGGAGGGCATCACGGCGGCCACCGAGGCCACACTCCCCCCGAACCGCGCATAACTCACCTCAACGACCGGGTTGACCACCGGTCTGGCTTCCGCCGCGGCATCACTGCCCGCCGCGGAGCCCTCCAATGGCTCCGGTGTCGAGGTCGGGGCCGACCCCTCACCCCCAGCCCTGCTGTCCGTCCCGACGAGGGCTTTCAGTTTGCGGATCTCGTCCGCCAGTGACATGCTGCTGGACCTGTAACCAGCCAAATTAACCCAATCTAGAGCCGATCCAATAATCCTCTGTCTGGACACCACAATGACCACATGCAATACCAGCACACCATAAACAAGAGTGACGACAAAAAGAAAACACTCACGATTCGCACGACTGAAAAACGCAAAACTCGACCC